TCCTACTGCTGCGTGGATGTGGCCTGGTGTTGGATTTAGAGCGAACAAATAAACATAAGTCTTCACACAGGTTTTGGGTTATCTATCTTCCTCCCTCGATTTCCTCCATCTGTGTTGTACGACACAGCAATGGTATGTGGGATTGTTCCACTTCTATCCTTGGCTATTCCTCATTCTCTCTTCTTACAAGAATGTTATTGCCATTTAGACGTCCAGGCCTGTTTCACATTTGGAGAGTTGATTGCATGCGATAGACATCCTTTCAATACCGGATATCAAGTTCTGAGATCGATAGCTCAGTGCTAATCCATGTCATACTAGGGAATCAGAGTGGTTCTCAATTCCCCCGGTTTTTGAGTTTAAGGTGAAGATGGTATGATACTCATCCTACCCTTACAAGGAGGTTTTGAATGTATTTAACTTACCAAGTACAGCCCACTGCACCCTAGCCACTCTACATCCAGGGGTACATCCTTGTTTACACACTTTTCTCATTTAGAGATTGAATATAATTCTCTGGTTAGGTCACTTTCCTACTACATTCTCTCCCACTTGGATGTGCTCCTCTCATTTTCTGCCCTGATATCTTGCACGTTCTACACATGGGCGAAGAGTATACCTGGCTCAGAAGTGGTGTGGTTCCCCTCTTCAGATCTGGCTCTCTCATATATGTGGGTATCCTTTGTATTCTTTTGGGGGTACATCTGTTCTTCCCTCACACCAGTCCCTCCTGGTGGATTGTAGCTAATCTTGTGAGAAGAGGGAAATACTGTATCGGAAGTTATAATTTTCCTATACTGAAAATGTACTTCCGATAGGGACTTCCCTCTTCTCACATATCCCACCCCTCCTCCCCACACACTTCCTGATACTTCTGTTTTCTAACAAACCTTGAAGTGATAGTTCGGTAGAGGTGCATAGTGCACTATGCTCCATTTGGCAGAGAGGTGATGCATGATGATTTACATGAGAGATGCATTGGAATCACTTGATTCCAATCGGTGGGGAGTAGAAGGCTTGTGGTATGCATAAGTGAAAAGTTTGCATATAGGGGGCAGCAGTGAACAAGAATAGCTAATCTTGTGAGTGAAGGAAAGTACCTATCGGAAATACATTTTCAGTATAGAAAAATTATAACTTTTCTTAGCATGAAAATCATCTTTTACTCAGACTGATGAAGTACTGGCTTTGTAAATTCCCAGAAAAATTGGTAGTTAAAATTCATAGTTAAAAAATCTGATTTTTTTTTTTATGTGGACAACGGCCTTGTAATGTCAAAAATTAGACCCAGCTCATAACCACCAAAGTAACCATGAGAGCAGTCACACGATAAGTTTTTATAATGTATGTATACCTTCACAAAATGTTGCAAATTATCAGCAAACATTACAAGGCTTTTGTACACAAAATATCAGATTTTTTTAATTAAAGATTTGCTCTTGCATTTTTTCTTCTCGTATGTTGACTATCTAGAATTCAAATTAATTTTGATTTTAAGATTAAAAATACTTTTATGCATCAGAAAATTATCATATTTCATTTGCAAAATCTCAATAACATCCAGGTAACTATTAAATCTTTTTTAGAAAAACTTTTTATCTTATCCATCACTTTCTCCATCATATCTCTGTACAGGTTTGGTTGACTACCATAAAAAAATATTAGGGAAAAAGATTTAAATTATGCTATATTCTTTTTAAATGACTACAAATTGCAAGAGGAAACCACAAATATTCAATCTAAATAGCTTAAATCTCATAACATTATACATTATTTATATTTATTGTTTTTATCTTATTGACCTTTTAGCTGCATCTGACTAACATCACAGAAATTGCAATCACGCAGCGTGTGCAGCTCATGTTATTGTTTAGCATGAAACTGACCTTCTGCAACTGTCTTAGCTGTGTTCTGGTGGACCAATGTTTTGTAAAATACAATCACAATTCAGTTATAATACATTGCATATATATATATATATATATATATTATTACTATTTAAAAACAAGTTCTTAAATTTCAGTTACTTTTCTTAAAACATTGAAAAATAGGTACTGAAAATATAGGATCTCTACTACTTACAATTGTTACGAAGTTTGTACTTGCTTGCTGTACCATACATGTTAAGCCTTGTCAAATTTTGCATGTGGAGAATGTAAAACATAATAATTTTTTTAGGTTTAATATGCATTTTGAAATAACAAAAAATTATAAATTGCTATACCAGTACCACAGAATTCCACTATAATTTATCAGGCTTAGTAATTAAGTTGTATTTGGATTTAAAAAAATATGAAATTGTGAGCAGACGAAAGATACAACCTACCTCCTTGAAATTGAAAGAAAGATATGGTATCCAAACATGTTAAAATGGCTAAGAAAGCCACTAGCCTTACCTCTACTTTTTGAGCTTGGAACCAAAAAGACTTGTTTTTAGTACCTAAACATCTTGCAAAGGCTGAGAAAACCATGTGGGGAAATTTTGAGCTTTCAATTGGTTACAAACTTATAATAGAGCAAAATGGCTGTATGTAAATAAGTATTTCCAAAAACAGAAGAGTTTGGTGGGGCCATTGTGTTTGGTCTGCTAAATATATTGATATTACAGCAAATATAAAAGATAGGAGCCCCTTATTTTATATTCTAGCTTGTCAATATGGGTAATTTGAGTTTCTATTTCACAAGAAGCTATGGACTTTGTATTTCTACATTATAACATTTTATTTGAACCAAAGCTGCATTCAACCACGGGACATACAACAATCAATATTTATGAAATATGTTTTAATATTTACTTCTAAATTAAGAAATTAACTAATGTATAATACTAAAATTTGAATTATACAATTTGATGCCAAAGTTATTGCCATATATTCATAAAATAGTAGTTGAATAAAATTTTGAAGTCTACAAATATGATAACATGCCCTCTAACCTCTAACCATAGGAAAATCTGTAGCAATAGGGTTAATACATTCAGAGTTATAGTATGTGTAGTTTTGTGGTGGTTACAAAATTGGTCAAATTGAATAACCCTGTTTACAGTTGGCTAAAAATAGTGTAGTGTTAACTTAGTTTATTGCTTATTTATTACAAGCTACAAACATAACTATGTTACTTAATGTAAGATTACTTTAATAAAAAATATATGGCAAGCTAATATTTATAATTTTGTACCTGAAGAGGTATCATACTAAACAAACTGAAAATGGGAATATTAGTCTCACGTGAGGGTAATTGTGTAGTAGTATGTAATTGATTAATTAGTCTGATCAATTGAGTAGCAAATTCCACTAATTGCTCAGTTCCATTCAGTACTTTTTAAGGGGTGAGGGGGGCTAGCATATTAAGTTTATAGCACTGTCTTAAGACATTTAGTTTGAAGAACTCAAACTGGAGACCAAGCATATGAACATGCTTGTCTCACTCTGACTTGACTCCAGAATCAATTTGAAACTCTGCAGAAGATATTAGACATAAGACTGAAGAAACAATTGAGAATAAGAACAATACCTACTGAAGTTGATGGAGAAAAGACATTCCAGAAACCAAAAACAATCAAAATTTATTTCTGTTCTTAAATGTATTTTGTTAGGTTATTACAAAAAACCAGTTTGTAGATTCCTTTTTAGAAATTAATGACAGTTGTGGTTATGGCCAATTAACATTTCAGACAATGTTTAACAATTTCTAAATCAGTTTGCTTCTTCTGAAATATCTAACCATTTCAGTATGCTTTAGAACAAAGTGCGTGCGTGTGTGTGTGTGTGTGTGTATGTATGTGTGTATATATATGTATGTGTATATA